CTAGTTTTACAGATTAGCATCACAGGTGAGCTGGTGTGCTTGAGCTGCAGCGGGTGGGGAAGGTTTGAGTGGAAAGGGACGGTGTAGCGCTTACATCTAAGCCATTTTAAAGCAGGAAGGGATTATTGTCGAGGGAAAAAAAGACCTTCTAAATGTACAGCTTTGATACGCAAAGATGAGTTTTTAAGGGTTTAATCAATGACCGACTTTCAAACGTGTTCATTAAATGCTGCGTATCTCAGGGAGCTGAGAGCGCTGTTTGCTACAAGCATCACTTGAGCAGATGCACGCAGCCAAACAAAAGTGTTCACTGCTGCAGCAAATGGGTAAAAGTTTGAGGTGAGTGTTGTATGAAACTTTACATATAAATGAGAGTGAGAGGCCGTACTGCAACCTCTCAAAAATTACTAATGAACATTGGAACGCTGAAATGGAACATTTTGGCTGCAGTTGTTCATATTAGATCATTATGGGATATGGACTGGTAAATGGACTGCAGTTATATCGGGCTTTTATCCAAAGCGCCTTACAATTTGCCTCCCACACACACATTCACACACACACACAAAACAGACACACACACAACCATTCATTACATTCACTGCTGCAGCTACGACTTGCCTCCAGCCTCACCTTACCCTAAATTTAATCTTTAAGCTATGTTTTTTTTTTTTTTTACCCTGAATTCAAAGCTTTGCGTGACGAGGACATGCTTTCTGTTACCTCAAAAGAAAGGCCTCGTAACATGTACCACACACGTCCGAGTGGCAGCAAGCTGTCACGTAAAGGCAGCGGCTCAACCTTGGCAGGTAATTGGGGTCTTGTTCAAGGCGATTTGAACGACATGTGGGCAGGAGGAGCCAGAGATCGATCCACCAACCTGCTGAGCCACAGCCACCAGTTGGCGTGTGCTTTCTCATATCAGGTGATCTCATAATTGTAGGCCGAGCTGCCTTCTTTGTGTGTGTTTGTTTGTTTGTGTGTATAGCCAGCTTTTCATATGAATGCTCGCCTGACAAGGACCTTGAAGGCTGAAGCCGTGCATCACTAGCAGAGCTTCTTTATGCTCCTTCGCACACTATCCATATTCCTTTTTTTTTATTACAAACTATAGGGAGCATTCAAGCAAGCTGGAATAAACTATAGAAAATGCATCCTAATAAGTTCTCATGCCTACCTTCGCTGCGAGCAAGCTGACAACAGTGGTCCAGTAAAACCGTTGCCACCCACACTAGCATCAAATCCTCTCTCTGACTTCAGCTTTGTCCGCCGAGGAAGAGCCTCGCCAGAGTTTACACGGCTTTGCTCTTTCAAAACTGCCGTCTTTTAACTTTCTCCATCCATCCAGTGCACTCGGTCTTCTCCGCCTGACGCCTCTGCTCTGCTGCTCTCAGCTCAGGTGCCGAGTGAGGACAGCAAACACCTCCATACCAAACAGTCGATGATATTCCCCGACCGCCTCACCTGCTACCTGTTTCCATGCTCACCTTGACAGATTCGCTCAAGGTGGTCTCGCAAAAACCCACTGTAGTACCTGATTCTGTTGTGTAGGCTCGTCGTTTAGAGATTTACTCCCAAAGATTAATTTTATTCACCAATGAAGAGCGCTTTTTCCAGAGGCACTTACATTTTTATTTGTGTATATTAAGTTATTTATTTGTATTGCTTCTCTGTTACACTAGCCGGGGAGTAGAATTAATAAATAAACACCCCCCCTGTACATTAAGAACTTATTTTTGCAAAGAGTAAACCGCAAGACTGTACTGAAAATGACAGCTAGCAGCTAAAAAATACTGCAAGCGCTCTCTGTGGGGCGCATGATGTAATTTCTGTACGGCTATTTCTCGATATTGATTCACTGATGCACATCCATGTGATCACGTCATGCTGGACAATGCGTCAGTGTTTATTACGGATGCTACCGTTAGATTCAACCAGTGCAACTTTTTCTTTTAAAATCTGCTCATGAATTATCTAATTATTGTATTGCCAGTGCATTTTATCCACCTCGAAATTCAATCTATGTGTAATTTCTCTGCCAAGCAGCCTTTCTGGCTGTGTTTCCTCAGCGGCTGCCCTTTTTGTTTTAATGTGTTTTTACTGCTCTTTTCTTTCTGCCGTTCTGATTTTAAAGTTCGTTTAAGTGCTGCACCTTAATATGATGATGCTTGAACACAAATGAATTTAGTGGCTAAATGGTGACTGCTCGTTGAAGAAAATTGGATGAGCTCCATTCAAAGTGTCAAGCTGATTCATATATTTTCAAGCAGATTTTGTTTAAAAAAAAAAAAAAACAAGAATGCAAGGACTACAGCTGCACAACAGTCAGATACGCCTCTCACACGAGGAGGAGTTCGTATGTGTAGATACCAGAAGCAGCCTATAATATCAGCTGCAAGCTGTTCAGCATGCTGTAGTGGTAAAAGCATCCATCCTTTAAGAGCCTTAACTTTTCATAATGGCTTTGTATGGCTGTGTAATGACCAAAGCAATTTTACAGGACCAGCTGCACTCCATAATATAAACTCTGCTCTCATATATTTCCATATTACATGATTATTATGGCCCCACACGACTATTTATAAAGTGCTGCCATGATCGCCCGTTTTCATGGCCTCTCTCATTACCAGATGTAACCATTAACACAGACTTTATTGCAAAGTAAATTTCCGGCTTCCGAGTCCCTAAAACAGACGAGGGCTTTCTTTATGGAAGAATTATGCAGTTTTTTTTCAGTTTGCACTGTGAGAAAGTATCCAAACTACTCTTTCCACTTAGTTTTGTGTACTTGTGGTTTTGGCTGTAGGCCTTGCTGTCAGGTGAGGGAAGCTTCAGCTTTAAAGGTCCCATATGGTGAAAATCAATTCTTATTTTGTTTTGTGGTTGTTAAAAACTTGGAGGCATAAGATAGAGGCTCTTGAGATATGAAAATGCTTCTTGCTGCTATTCACTCAGCCTCCCCACAAATAGATAGCCTCCCAGCTTTCCCCGCCAGTAAGAATTTTATTGAACTCCTACATACCAGTAACGAACCGAAAGTTGTTTGGCACAAACTGTGCAAGTTGAGCCACTCTGAAAGCCCAGCTGCCGGGTTTGTTTACTCTCTGGAGCTGCTTCTGCTAATTCTGCAATGTCTCAGCCTCAGCTCTCCACATGTTGTGTTGTTGGCTGCAAGAGTCAACACAAGAGAACAGAAGGTCCAGTGGATGACTTTTGTTTGTGATGTCACCAAACAATAGGAACATCCTCTGTGTTAGCATGTTGTGGAACCTAAACACTGCCTCGCTGCTGTTAACATCTGTTTGCTTCTCTCCTGCTCTCTGTGCTCACATCTGCTGCAGGTTATAACAGCTGAATTCTCATTAAAGCGTTTACATATTGTTTACGGGTGGGACTTTAACACATTAATTAATGCATAATTAACACGTTAAAGTCCCACCCCTAATATACTTTGAATCGTTAATTACGATTGATCAATTAATTACAACAAAATTAACGCAGTCAAATTTAATCGCAGTTTGCATCCAGGCAACACTGAACGTTTGTCAGCGCCCGATTTCATGGTCCACTGATCACATGAGGATGCATCAGCGCTACGCTAACAACAACAAACATGGAGGAATCCGATGAAGGTGCATCACTTGGACCGATGGAGGCCAAGTTTCTTTTTTAAAAACTGCCTGATGGAAGCCTTGACAAGTGCCTGGTTTTGTGCAACTTGCGCAAGAAAGAATTTGCATCCCAGCAAAGCACATCGAGCTGACAGTACCGCCTGAATGCAAAGCATGTTGCAGCGAGCACAGAAACCGCCAGAGCTGTTAGCGCTAGCAGTCCTGGTTCGAGTCGTGTCAGCAGCCCACACTGAACCAAACGACTGGATTCAGAGCCAAAATTAGAAAGTTGACATCTGACAAACTCACAGATTTGCTTGCAAAATGGATTGCTCTGGACTGTAGACCACTTTCGGTGGTTGATGATAAAGGTTTAGAGAATGTGCTACAGATAGCAACAATTTTTTTAACGCGTTATTTTTGTTGTAATTGATTAATCGTAATTAACGTGTTAAAGTCCCACCCCTAATGTTTTTTTGTTTTGGTTTTTTGTTTTTGGAAGTAGAAACTGAAACGCAGCCAGTTTTGACTAAATACCAACCAGCCATCATGTCGGAGGCATTTTCCAAGCTGCTGCTCTGCACCGCTGGACTGTTCATTTTATACCTAAACTCATCACTAACAGGTCATGAAAGACAACCATTGTCCTATGAATTTGACAGTATTTGTACTTCAGATGAGCACTCAGAGAGAAAGTGAGACGTGATTTAAAAAGTCCTGGTATCACACAGTCATTCACGTCTGTGTCGGCTGCCATGTGATCAACTGTTTGGCTCTGCGCTGTCACTCGGAGAAGTCTTCTTCCTGAAGGGGACGTGGACTGCAGCAGCTCAGCTTACAGTAAAGCTGCAGACACTAAAACTGTGTATTTATAACAGGCCTGAAACCAGGGACTATGCAATTAAGGACACATTCGAGACTCATTAACTTGCTTTTTTTTTTGTTTTTGTTTTTTTAAGCGAGGGGGCTACAATATGGGACCTTTAAAGTGTAGCATAGTATACTAGACAACAGGTATGTGAAGCCTGTCCTGTTTTGACATAACTGTGCAATATCTTAACTGCTTTAGGAGGTCGTTATTTGTTATGGTTTTAAGCCTAAAGCTTAGAAGCAAATGCAGCAAATAGTCTTGTTTAGTAATAGATAGATTAGATAGTAATCGTTAATGTATTACGGCCAAACTGCTCCCCCGAGTAACGAGAACCAACAGTCCATCATTATGTAAATACATGAAGGTCGGCCAGTTTGTGAAATTTCAAGAAAGTTTCTTCGAGTGCATAAACAGTGATGAAAGCGGCTCTCACAAGTACTGCTTCAGGAAAGGAAGGGCAGGAGTTCGCTCTGCTGCAGAAGATAAGTTCATCAGAGACTTACAAATCACCAATTAACAGCAGCTGAGATTAGAGCCCACATCAATGCTTCCCGGAGCAGACGAATCAACTGTCAGGGAGACGCTTTGACTCTGGCCTTCAAACTGCAGCAAAGAAACCACGACTGAAGGAGACTAATGAGAAGAAGACAACTGCCTGGGCCAGGACACACAAGGAAGGTCGTTAGACTTGTGAAAATCTAGACTTTGGAATAATGAGTACAAATTTGAGATTTTTGTTGCCAGTAATAGTTTTTTTGTGCGACACAGAGATACTGAATGTATGAGATCTGATGTGTGGTTCCAGCTTTGGACATGGAGCTGGATGGAGGTAAAGGTGTGTTGGGGCTCTGCTTGTAACTGTCCATCCATCCATCCATCCATCCATTATCTATACACCGCTTAATCCTCACTAGGGTCATGGGGGGCTGGAGTCTATCCCAGCTGACTCAGGGTGAAGGCAGGTTCACCTGGACAGGTAACCAGTCTATCACAGGGCTACACTTAGAGACAGACAACCAAGCACACTCACATTCACACCTACAATTTAGAATCACCAATCAACATGTTTCTGGACTGTGGGAGGAAGCCGGAGAACCTGGAGAGAACCCACGCTGCACGGGGAGAACATGAAGACTCCACGCAGAAAGATCCCGGGTGTCCTCACCGGGATGCGAACCGGCGACCTTCTAGATGCGAGGTGCTAACCAACTGCGCCACCTTGCATGTAACTGTGTCGGAGATTTATTCAACACTAAAGCAGCTACCACAGCACCCTGCAGCGACACACCATGCCATCTGGTCTGCTCTCAGTGGGACCATCATTTGTCCATTCAAACATTCGTTCATTTTCTTACTCCGCGTGAGGCTGCAGTGGGAGCAGGCTTAGCAGAGCGTTCCAGTCGTTCCTTTCCCCAGCAACGGTGTCCAGGTCTTCCTGGGGGATCCTAAGGCTTTCCCAGGCCAGATGAGATATGTAATCTTTCCAGCGAGTTCTCAGTCTATCCCTGGCTCTGCGTGCAGTTAGACGTGCCCAGAAAGCCTCCAGAGGAATCGCCCAGGAGGCCTCCTAATCAGATGCCACTCGCATTACTGAGCCGTCCGTCCGCGTCAAGCTCCATCTTCCTGTCAATCAGAAACAAGATCCAGAGATACATAAACCATCGTCTGTAAGTGCTATGTGACCAAGAAGCAGAATGATGGAGTGTATTAGCTGTATTAGATGACCTGACCCCATTATCACACAATCTAAACCCAACTGGGATGAGTTGGACCACAAAGTAAACGATGTGTTTTCCTTCATTTATACTTTTTTGCTTGCTGCAGAATTCCTAAAGTGTTGTTTCAGTGTTTTGTTGTCTTCAGTCTTGTTATACAATAGTTACAACCAGTAGGTGTGTTTAAACCTGTGACTGAAATGTCGAGTCATTTATGGCATCAGTCAGTGTTCACGTGTGCTGATACTTGTGGTCATGTGATGTATCGTCCACTAGACTTCAGACAGTTTACCAGCAGTGACTTCACATCCACACTCAGGACAGACACATCTCCTGCTACATCCTACCATCCGACACGACACACAGAGACAATGTGCCGACTGCTTATAAGTTTTAATGTACATCAGTTGGAAAAGTGTGAACCTGCACATAAAAGTGTGTTGCCCTCATCAAAGTTTAAGCCCCAGTGTTTGAATTTTCCACCTTTGCATCCAGCAGCTGCACTTGATCCTCCTGTGACAGTGACTTTTAAGCGTGTGCTCATTGTAGTGGAAAATAGTCCTTTCACTCCTGCAGTCCTTCTTCCTGATTGTGCTTTTTCTGACCTTTCCCGCTTCGGTCCGTCTGCTTTTCTAGATAAGCCAGCCGAGTCAGTGTCCTGAGATGCTCTTCTTCCTCTGCAGCATGCTGGCCGGACACCTGAGGGCGCTGTGCTGGACCACCGTGGCACTGGACCACATGGACACACCTCTGGCAGGTATGAGTAGTGTAGGTTTAAAGGAATCTTCATGTGTCAGCAAGTTAATGAAAGTCTCGCTTGTTCCGTCAGCGTGTCTTTTGATTTTTCAGCGAAAAACACTGCAACAACAGCACAACCCCTCGTTATATTCCTAAATCGGCCTTTTCAGTGTCTGTAGATTTAAATGCAGTTGAGCTGCTGCCGTCCACGCCCCCGTCAGGAACAAACCTCTCCCTGCATACGTACTGACAGCATAGAACAACACAGCTGACCTCACGGCAGCCGACAGAATGTTTAAAACCAGTACTTTCTCTGATTGCTCATTTTACATGCATTCACAGCCGTTGTGTTTAATTCTTGTAGTTTTGAGAACTTTTTTTTATTACAAACTATAAGGAGCATTCAAGCAAGCTAGAATAATAATAATAATAAACTGTAGAAAATGCATCCTAATAAGATCTCATGCCTACCTTTGCTGCGAGCAAGCTGACAACAGCGGTCCAGTAAAACCATTGCCACCCACACTAGTATAAAATCCTATTAAATAAAAAATAAGTTTGTCAGACAACGTTGTGGTTATAAAGTCAGTGGTACTGATCAGCAGCTGGCTATAAAGTGGCTGACATTTAGTATTAATGAGCTACATTTTAGTCAAGATGTCAGAGTTGTGCCGTTATCTGATAACAGACAAATATGTAAATGAGAACAACTTCATTTGGGAGTTGGTTGTGTTAAAATGTGAGCACAAAGAGTAAGAGAGAAGTAAACACATGTACACACTGGCTGAGTTTGTGTCTGTGAAGATCCTCAGTCCTCCAAGTCATGGTTACTCTCGTAGATTAATCATAGCAACTGCTTGAGTTCCTTGAAGACGTTCCACCTCTCATCCAAGAGGCTTCATCAGTTCTGACTGACTAGTTGGGAGTTCCAGATACTTCTATCCTAAAGGAGCCATTGACACCTGAGTTTCGGTTTCAGCTGGGGGTTTGTTGAGTTTAGGTTGCACAAGAAGTGATTTGACAGTAACTCGGCTGATCCTTTAGTTTCAAACTAATCGGAGTCTCTCCAGATGCTGGGAGTGCATGAAGACGCTTGTGTTCACTCTTACAGCCAAGAGCAGATTATTTGATGTGTTTTACTCGTGGCTCAGACATTAAAGACTTAAAATAGAAAGTAAACAAACCAGTGACAAGCTAAAAGGGCAACTGCTCTTTAGGAATGGCAGTGGGCAGCGAGGGGGCGGGACTATACGAAGCTGGAGCTAGACGACTATTGATTAACCTGCAGTTCAACAAAATCCTTACTGCTGGTAAAACTGGACGGCGAGCTGGTTGTGGTGGGGCTTGAGAAAGAAGTAAATATCATCATATCTTGCTTTAAACCTGGCACCACAAAACACAACAGTAAATGGGTTTTCACCATAAGAGCCGTTGAAGGTACAGCGATGGTCTGCGCTTCGTGTGGGGGGAGTAACACGTGTAACGGGTTATGACTTGCTTTTATGCTAATGAGTCTCTTTGCAAGACTTTGACTTTGCCTTGAAATTATCATATTTTTAAAAGGTGCAGGGAAATCAAAGCACTGAAGGAGCTCGTGAGTTGAAATGAATGCTGAAGGCAGTCTTCACGTCTCCGATAATTACGCTTCACCCGACGCTATTTGTAGTGACCTCCCCAACAACCCGTCTGCTGCAGACATACAGTATGACGGCACGCCACCGAACCACACAGACTCCATGCATTATCTTAGCGGGCTGTCGGTAAACGCCTCCATTTTCGTGTCTTTCCTGCTGCAGGAGCCGAGTTCGTGGCTCGGGTACACTCCCATCTGCGTGACACAGCAAATGAGAAGAAGCAGCACTACGGTGAGCTCGAGCCGACATCTCCTTCCCCGAAAAACACACACTCACACCTTCCACTTCTTTGTGTCGTAGCTTTAAAAGCCTGTCACCTCGGCTTTCCCCCCCCACTCATTTAGCGTCTGTTGTAAGCAGCCGACCAAGACCAGGCTCATTAAAAACACTCATTAGACAACCGCAAACTACCCAAATGACACCCTTCAATAATATTCAGAGTAAAAAATTGCCATCCCACTGGTAACGGCTTTGTTCTGTTATCCCGACCTGGTTTTTCTATATTGGATATCTGTCTGTTCTTTTGATTCATGTGTGCCTTTGTGCTGTATCTCACAGAGAGCTGCTCAGAGGAGGCGGCACACACCGCGGTTAGAACACTAATAGACCTCGGGGTGAGTGACAGCCTCTGTGCGTCTCTAAATCTGTCTGTCTGCCGAGAATTCTGCACTCAAAGTTTAGGCGCAGTCCAACTCTCGGGAAGTTCAGCTCCACCGTTAATCTCTTCCCAGGTGACCCCGAAATCTGGCCCGAATCTCAAAATCACTCGACGCCGCCGCTTTTTTTTTTTTTCAGCGAGAGCCTTAAGCTCAGCGTGAACTGGAGTCCAACCTGATTTTGATGCGAGCAGAAAGTAACTGCGTCTGACTGGAGCCAGCCGTATCCAATCATGTGTGAGGCACAAGTGTCAGTCTATAAAGAGAATACACTGGGCCAAGGACACGAGTGATTTAAAATGAGAGGCTGTGAAAGAGCAGCACAGGCGGGTTCAGGTCTCCCAGGTGTGGCACCGTGATTCACATTCAGGTCTCGGAAGAAATTACATTAACCCGTAATCCTATTATTGTTGTCTATATCTATTTTACATTTTCTCGGATGATACCTCCAAGTATGCGGGATTAAATTTGGATTTGATTTGAAAACATTCATAAACTGTCAGCGAATTATCCGACACAGCAAATTTAATTTCTGCCGGGTAACAAAGACGCCGCAGAAAACAAACACAATACTTGACTGGAATACTTATTTTACTTTGCGTATCGTTCCCTTTACTTCACTGCAGTCGTTTAACAGTGATAGCTATTTAGACCAGTGGTTCTCAAACTGGGGGTCGAGACCCCCATGGGGGTCCCAAGATAATTTCAGGGGGTCGCCAGATAATTGTAAAAAAAACAAAAATAATAATAAAGCAGCCTACGTTTATCAAATAAATGTGTATTAGAGCTGTCAAAATTTAAAGTTTATACTTCCTCCCACTCCTTTTTCCAAACTTGTTAATATTATGATTGGATTGTGCAATATTATTTTTCTTTTTTGCTCTTTTTTAAGTTATTTTCTTTTGTTTTTATATATTTTTTTCCCCTTTTATTTGTTCGAAGTAAATTCATTCATTCATTTAAAAGAAAATTAACGTAAAGAGATGAATCTGTGGAATTAAAACATTAATTTTTAACGCATTAATGCATAAACAACAAAGTTATTACTCATTAGATATTAAAAATTCAAATTGGGGGGTCACGAACACAAACTTATCTTGGTGGTCGTGATTCAAAAAGTTTGAGAACTTTCTAGATGTAATTGAGTAATAATCATAATAATAATAATAATAATAATACTAGAACTCACGGGACCAGTTCTTCTGCCTGTCTGAATATTTCTTGGACTCTAACTTGTCGTATGGAGTATTCTAGGAAGTGCACACTTGGCAGAGGTCAAACAAGCAGGAAAACATATTTCGAGGATTCCTCTGTGGCCCGTTTCCCTCTGTTCTTGTGTGTTGCGAGATGACCTGATATGAAAAAAGCTTCGCTCTGGCACAACGAGCTGAGAATTTACCAGAAACTTTGATGAGACCAGATAAAAGGGGCCTTTTCTGTGTTTATTGTGATGGATTATCAAGCTGCGCGGGTTATTTTTCATGCAGCGCGAGGAGGAAGGCGGCAAACGGTTTGTCTCGCGCCTGTTTTTCTTTATCTAGCACTGATTCTGCAAAGGAATAGAGAAGATTGGCACCGACCTAAACGCCGAGACCCGAGGAGACGCAGGCATATGGTGAAAAGTTGGCTCGAGAAGAAAGTTCAGTGATGCAATATTTTTATTCATAAATATATAAATTAATGTTTCTGCACAAATTCCCCGCTCTAGAAATGAACCACTCAGCCTTTCAACTCAGTTAAGTAGACAGTGTCTGCTCCCATCAGTCTCCTCTATCAGTCTGTGGGCTGGGAATCGCTGCCTTTAAAAATAGAGCATCATTGACCCATTTATCCGCAAAGATCTCATGAGGCGGTTATTAAGTTTATTATCAAGGTTATCAGTCAGACGCGGTTGTAATCACGCTCGTCTTTAGGATCTGACAACTAGTTCCACCCTCTGATGTCGAGACGATCCACCGGTCGGGACCAAACGTGCCGCTAATGTTTAAGCAACTTTAAGACAAGAAACGAGTGAAGTTCGGCTTTTCTCGTTTGTCTAATTACCTCAGACCTTGCAAAGTGAATAAGGTGGTGTGTGTGTTTTTTTATGTAACATCTTTGTTTTTCTTTCTCATTGTCGAAGTGCCCTTGTTTTGAAAGGTTTTGTTTTTATCTCTCTTATTACTTCACTGTTCTTTATTTGGCCTTGTGCAGAAGGCACACCACTGAAGATAAGAGGAGGCTGTGTGTTGTGTCCTGACGCCGTTGTGTTTATGTTCCTCATGTTCAATTCAGGTCCTTTCGGAGGAGCGTCAGGAGGAAGGCGTTCTCCTGGGTGTTCGTCCTTTGTTCCAGCTGTCAGAGAACAGGCAGAAGCTGCACGGCTTCATCTCGCAGTACCTCTTCAATTAATGCGTTTAACTGAGCAGAATGACTCAAGGCCTCGGCTCGGCTTTGTTTTGTTGCAGGGTCTGACCTCATCCGCTGTCGGTGTCAGGAAAGCTCGTGTTCGCTGTTAAAAAAGACGCACGCTGAGCCGGGACGCTCGTGTTTTTAGGTTAATTGCGTTTTGATTTTTCAATGATGAGACATTGATTTTAAGTTTATCTTTAGTAATAGCATTAGCATAAAGCCGCAGGAGATGAGGATTATGAAGTCCCTGTAATCAGCAGCGAGGACTCGTGTAGGATGATGCTGCTGCTGCCGCCGCTCGGTGCAGCTTGTGCCTCCAACATGTTTGTTTTGTAACGAAGGCTCCTCTGGTTTCGTTTGTTCCGCGTGAAGATGCTTTTTGTTCAAGTTAAATAAGGTTCATACTGACAATAAATAAATTCAGAGCATGCACAAGGTGTAGAGTTCCTGGAGACAAACTGAAATCCTTTACAGTAGCTCATCAGATAGAACTTCCTCCACACAACGCCTCATTGTGAGCAGTTCTCCTGCTGAATGCAGATCACTCTGTGCTGAGTCAGACCTCTGGAGAGTCTGCCTGTTTGACGTCGACCTTTTTGACATCCAGGTCCAGAGACAAATCGATGCCTCACTTTGATCGGGACAGAGAGCTTTTTCTGGCAGACGTTAATATTTTGGGCATTTACAGCCGACTGTTTGTACAAGCCAGAGTCACTGCAGCTGGCTTTTTTTTCAAAACTCCTAAATCGAGCACCAAGCGAAGCTGCAGCTTCTGTCGACTGCGAGCCTCTACTGCCCCCTGGTGTCCAACCGAGGACACTGATGACTCCTAAATCAGTGCTACAACCTGAAATTGATGCTTGTTCAGGTTTTAAAAGTAAACGATACTCAAAACAATCAGGTAAATATTAAGAAACAGATTTTTGAGTGTGCTGCTGATAAACACAGGTGACGGTGGTGACACAACAATGAGTTGACATTTTAAAGTCACTGATCAACTTGTGCAAGTATTATATAGTATTTTGTAGAGTGTAAAGCAGCTACGTGTTCTGATTTCTGTATATATAGTATATTACAGCTTTGTTTATGCTACACAGAGTTGCATAGTAAAGGGACACTTTGGGATCCATCCATCCATCATCTCTACACCTTAATCCTCACTAAGGTCGTGGGGGGCTGGAGTCTATCCCAGCTGACTCAGAGTGAAGGCAGGTTCACCTGGACAGGTAACCAGTCTATCACAGGGCTACACTTAGAGACAGACAACCAAGCACACTCACATTCACACCTACGGACAATTTAGAATCACCAATTAACCTCAGCATGTTTCTGGACTGTGGGAGGAAGCCGGAGAACCCGGAGAGAACCCACGCTGCACGGGGAGAACATGGAGACTCCACGCAGGAAGATCCCGGGTGTCCTCACCAAATCGGTAACCTTCTAGCTGTGACCATTGAGCCACCTATTAATGATATACTGAACAAAAATCCAAATACAACGTGTAATATTTGAGTAAATTTTAACCATTCCTATGAACACAGAGGATTAAGTATTTGTCACTCCTGCTTACAGCCATGAAACCACCAAGTTTGCACCACGTTAGAAATAATAACGGGCAAATTCAGAAATCACGAGTCAGTAATAAGTCACACACAGAGTTAATGAGGTTGTTGATCGCTTGTGGAACGTTGTCCCACTTTTCTTGAAGGACTTGGTGAAGTTGGGGGACACTTTGTGGAACTGGATGACGTCGTCAGACACCAGATCATCACGAGGCAGATCGTCTGTCTGATAATTGTGGGTGAAACTGTTCCTTAGATGACTAACAGCGGAGTTTTGGACATTTAAGTCCAACTAATATGCCAGCATCCAGTCATGCCAACAGCCCGTTCTCATTCGCTTGTTATCTGTGGCATCGCATCATTTGCTGCATTTTACGGCGGTGACCTTTTATAGTTTTATAGCTATTAGCATTAGCTGCTATCTGATCAGTTTCACAAAGTGATAAAAGAAAACCATTGACATGCTGTGTTTGTAGTTCTGATCAGTGAAATTATAATTACTGCACAATTACAAAAAAAAGAAGCAGCAGCCAGTTCGGATAAAGGGGGACAAAAAGGATAAATATCAGGATTTAAAGCTCGGATTTGATCCATTTTTTTCGATGACGTGTTCCAGCTGATTAGTTCAAGAACCGTCTCCAAGTTTGTGGCTGATAATGGGGCCTGTTGGATGATTTTATGTTTCACTGAGCTGCTGTTTTGAATAAATGTTCCTTCAGTAACTGGTTGGAACTGCAGCTCGGTGTTCAGTTGGTGGAACCAGTGTGGCAGCTCTGACATGAGCCTGAAGTTAAACAGTCTCACCCTGACAGACGGGATGAACTGTCGATAATTTCCTTAAATGTGTGATTCTTTTATTTGATATTCAAGACGTTCTGCGCAGTTAGAAAAGTGCCCGTTAAGTTATTGGTTTTGCGAGGTGGTTCGAGTGTCTGAGCCAGACATCGACCTGCAAATTGCCCCTCATGGACGGCATCCGTCAGAGGAAAATATACGAGGACAAAATAACGTAAGGCCTCGCTTTGAATCCGAGCATTTCACAAATTATAAGTGGTTCAATGGTCGAACACAATTACCGGATTCACTCATCACACTGCTGCAAATTGTACATTTGGTCCTGGGATTTCCCTGAAGCTCTCTAAAAAAAAAAAATAATATTAAGACCTTTGTGGTTTCAGCGGAGAGAAAATGAAGCAAGGAGGTACACGACTCAAAGCCCAGATCGAGGAAATTATTAAGAATTTCCTCCCAGGCAATATAAACGACACATTTCCAAGATAGCATATTTTATTTTAATTAAAGTCTCCCAGTCGCTTGTAATCTGCCGTCTTCTTTTCAGAAAGTTGCTCTTTGAATCATCACAGTCGGGGAAAAAGTTCATCACCCTGAATATTAAACATAATTAGAAATATGTTTTATTTATCACATATTGAAATAAGTCCGGGGGTTCAGGGTTTCTGCCGTATAGCGCGAGTGGGTGGCTGCTGATGAAGGGTGTTTGTACAGCGGGTGATGACTGCGACTTCAATAACTGAGCTTGAGTCACGTAATTACACAGTTTGGTAAAAATACCACGTTTTGCTTCCTCACAATTACCCAAGTATCATTGATTAATACATTCATCAGGCAACATACATTTTTATATGTTTCCTGCTGCTTTTGCACCACTCTGTTAGAGAGAGGAGGGAAAAAAAAGCAAAAAGATTGTGTTTGTAAGTTGTAATTCATTGTGAGAAACAACAAATCAGACGTGCGGTTTATGTTCACAGCTGACATTTACTTGGTGGATTGTTGTCCCGGGGTTTAGACCACTTTGTTGATTATGGAGCCCAGTTGGTCTATCTGGCACTCCACCACGTCTCCTTTCTGAAAGAAAAACAGTCAAACATTAAATTACGTCTTTACTCCTGTTAAACTGCTCCCTTATTGTCTATAAAAGTATACAGTGCTGCAGACTTTACAGAGTCCCTTTAACTCGATGCCATTAAACAAGCCCCTTTTGGGTAAAGTGAAGTTTAAGGTGATGCTTTACACCGATCGGCCACGACACCGGGACCACCGACAGGTCGAGAGAAAAGCATCGATTATCTCATTAGAACGGCTCCTGTCAAGGCAGGAAGTGAGCGGTCAGCTACTGAAGTCGGTTTGTGCAGAAGTTTGTTTGAAGCAAGAAGAAACTGAGCAGCTTTTACAAGGAACACAGTGTGTTGGAGAACCTCCAGAACACTTGTAGGGCGCATCAGGCTGGTCAGTACCCACCGAAGGTTTGGCCGAGGGAAGGACAACCGAACTGGAACGGAGGAAGGTTTCCTGGTCAGATGAATCACTTTTTACATCATGTGTTGAGTATAGAGATGGCAGCAGGATGGGAAGAAGGCAGCATGACGCTCTGGATAAAGTTCCCTTATCCTGGCATTCATGTACCACCAACCTAAACAGACCACGTTCAGCCATTCATGCTCCCTGATGACACCTCTGAGAGCAGGACGATGTGTCAAAGTGTGTTCAGGAAGGGTTTGAGGATCATGACGCAGTGTTCAAGGTGTTGGCTTGGCCTCCCAAGGTCCTCAGATCAAAAAGTTATGAAACTGTGTCTATAAAAATCCAAAAATTGCTCCTGATTTAAATTTATCCACCTCTCCCTGTGCAGCGATTTAGTGCTGCTGCAACAGTTGGAACGCTCCCTGAAGGGCTGTTGTGTCGAGCACCTTCCAGGATGAGCACTGAGTCTCTTTAACGGTGTCAGAATGTCGACCCTTGAGCTTGAATTTTAGGGAAGTAGCAGGAAGCCAAGTCAGGCGAGTGGTGTGGGCAGCGATGGCAGCTCTGGCACCCACATTGCTCATTGTTTATGTTGAATTTCCTCCCTCGACCGTCTCAGTAGAACTCTGCTTTGACCGTCTGACCCAACAATAGGAATGTTGAAGAAAGCGAGCACATGTCTGGTTCTGCTGCTGTACTGATGCGAGTTGTCTGGTTTCGTCGTAGCTGCAGACTCGTCTCTCAGCGTCGGTTACGATCCTCGACATGAAGGTCGACTCATCCCGGCTGCAGACTAACTCAGATATTGATGTTTTCTTCTCTGCTCCAGTTTTAGCTTCGTGAACAAATCACAAACTACCAACGGTTACAAAACGGTGAAACATGGTCCTGCTGATGCACCGTGTACTGTCTGTATCACCTCTCATGTGCTGGAAACCGATACATGGAGGCCCCCAACTCATCTACCAGGACTTCAGTGATCTACTTGGTGTCTGATATCACAGGACACCTTCAGAGGTCTTGGAAAGATCAGAGCTGTTTTGACTGCTTGGAGGGCAGCTACACAATGTTCAGTGTGTGGTTTTAATGTGTTTGGTTTTGTCAGAGTCACGCATGAAGTCACCTTGAGGAAGACGGGTGGCTTTTTGAACACTCCCACACCTGGAGGCGTCCCCGTCAGGAACACATCTCCTGGAGTTAACGTCACAAACCTGACAGCAGGAGAGAGAAACACAGAGCGGATCAGCGAGACGGAGCATGTGCCTCACAGCAGCATCAGAATCACCATGACTCGTAGCGCTAATCAAAAAATGAGGATTTTCTTTCTCAGGGTCACGCAGCATAAGCACTTTATTAATTTAGATTAGGCAAATGCATGCAAAACAATAACTTCCCCAAATGATCCTGCTGTCTGCGGAGACCCCGTGGAAGGTGCCGCCGGCTGCTCTCATTGCAGAACAACAGGAGCATTGTCACCAGGAGGTCGGGCGAAGGGAAGGAGGCGCGTTATCGTCCAAAAATCTCAAATCAGGATCAGGATCGGAACGCCCCAGTTGGTCAGGGCGCTTCGGGGCTAAAGGCTGCCGATCGCGGTGATACGTCTCAGCTGAAGCATGTAATTTGAGCTCAGAGTGTGTGATGAACGGAGGACGTTTGCTCACATAAAGTTCTTTTTGTGGATTTATTTCTCACATGATTTGATTTGCATAATTTCCTAAATGGGAACTCTGTGCTGTCTGCGCGACTCACTCAAGGAGAAGAAAGTCCTCTATGTATTATGTAAATCCGTCTCCGTGATGTTCTTGTGTGCCGACATAATGAACACGCCGAGCGGACTCACTTGGAGACCCAGGCGACCAGCGCCGCCGTCTTGAAGATCATCTGGTCGGTGTTGCTGCTCTGCATCGCGTCGCCGTTGACCAGGCAGCGGATGTTCAGGTTGTGAGGATCTGGAGGAGGAACGAGAGACGACAGATGATTTTTATCACTCAAGAAGGAACACAAGAGAACATTTGACTCGCAGTCTGCAAATAAATATCAGCCAGTTTAACAAATA